GAATTCAATGGGGAGAAAGGAAGAAAAAAATTTAAATCTTTATGCTAAGACTCCATTATTTGCTTGAAATATTGGGAATCCCAGTACAGAGACTGAATACTCCCTACAATATTAGGAATAGGACAGATAAAGATGAAAAAACATGACACTTTTTAATATAAAATATCAGCAAGTAAAAGAACTGGGAAGTTATTAACTATAATTTTTATGTATGTATTTATCACCAAGAAATGATTTAAGTGTTTAAAATACCTAAGGTCTTTTTTTTGTAAGATAGAAGAGACAACAGGCTCATGTCTTTTGTATAGTTTAAGAAACCCCAAACTGATATTCCATTCTAGGGTGGTTCATTATCTGGGTGACATCCTCTAGAAAACAATTTTTTTGCTTTTTGCTTTTTGGGTTACACCCGGCAATGCACAGGGGTTACTCCTGATTCTGCACTCAGGATTACTCCTGGCAGTGCTCAAGGGACCATATGGAATGCTGGGAATTGAACCCGGGTCGGCCACGTGCAAGGCAAACACCCTACCTGCTGTGCTACTGCTCCAGCCCCTAGAAAACAATTTTTATAGAACCAGTACATAAGCCACTTAGTGTGGCTGGCTTGAAATCAGATGTTGAAAGGAGGGAAGAGAAAAAAAACGGGGGAGCTCTAGCAGTCCTGGGGTAAAATTCAGCCACCACCAGAAAGGAAAGGAATTTAAAGATAGACATGATTTTGTTGGTAATTTTCCTGAATTCCTCAGAACCATAAGTTATAAGCATATTTAAACATTACAAAAAATAAGCAGAGTGAAAAAAAATACTGTAGGGACTGAAGAGACAGTGGAGGGTGTGTGCCTTGCTTGCCTTGCATGCAGCTAATTTTGTTGCTAGTCCTGGGCATTGTATATGGTCCCCCAAGCACTGTCAGGAGTAATCTCTGAGCACAGAGCTATGACTCAGCCCTGAGCAAAGCAGGATGAGCCTCCAAAAAATACCCTCCAGCCACCCTCACAAATATATAAATATATAGGTATACTTTGAATATCTTACATAGCTAATTATAATAAACAAAATTATCATTTATGGGGAAATGATCTGTTCTATACTGATTCTTGAGATTCATCAAGAAACAATACAGATTCTCAGACCACTTCCATATATATATATATGTGTGTGTGTGTGTAATATACACATATATATGTATATTAATGGAAAATGTCATGATGAGCAAGTTTGGAACTAATACCATAAAATTTCTTAAAAACCTTGGTATCAATATTAACTTGTTAACAATATTAACACCTATATTTTTAATATCTAGCCACTATAAGGGAAACAGTAAATCTTATATTTTAAGGGGGTGTCCCAAGTTATTTATAAATTCACCCCAAAATGAAGTTATAAATAATTTCAGAGAGTCTGGATAGTAAGATTTTTTAGTAATAATTTTAAAGCAACAAGAATAATGAATAAAATTTAAGCATTCATGAAAGGTAGAAAAAAGGAAATTCCTTCCACAAACATGGTTGAGAAAACTCAGTAGTCAAATACAGAACAAAACTGTCTTATTACCTATACAACAAACGAAAAGTTAAACTCATTTGGGGAGATGACTCAACGTATATAGAGCATAAACATTGCATGTGTGAGGTCTTAGGTTCAATATCCAGTATTATACACAGATAAAAGTTGACTAAAACTGGATTATTTCTGCAAATCAAAATGATAATTAGATATCACCTGATACCAATGAGAAAGGCCTTTATCTGAAAGGCAGAAACAGGGCTGGAGAGATAGTACAGCAGTAGAGCACTTGCCTTGCATGCAACTGACATAGGTTTGATCCCCAGAATCCCGTATCATCCCCCAAGCACTGCCAGGACTAATTCCTGAGTGCAGACCACAGAATAATTCCTGAGCATCACTGGGTATGGTCCCCAAATAAAATAAAAATAAAAGGACAGAAAAGGGATGTGGAAAAAAAGGAATACTTACTCCCTATTGATGGGAAATAAACTTCTATAAAAAAACAGTATGAAGCCTACTTAAAACATTTATAATAGACCTACCATATGCTCCAGCAATTCCACTTTTTGTTATCTAGCCCAAGGACACTAATTCAAAAGGAACATGTAAACTTCTGTTCATTGCAGTGCTATTTACACTAACCAAAATTGGGAAACAGCTCAAGTGTGTCAAATTACACAAGTAGATAAAGGTATACTTTTTATATACATAATAAATTATGAACTTTTGTGTTTTGATACTATCTAGATAGAATGAAAGAGTGTCATGTTAAGTAAAACAAGTCAAAAGGAGAAAAGACAAATAGTGGATGATCTTACTCATAAGTGGTAAATAAAAACAAAACAAAACAAGGAGATAGACAATGTTTTATTAAAAAAAATTCCTTAAACTCTGATGATAAAATTAAGCTTACCAAGTAGGATATAAGGAGTATGGAAGGGAAAGATTCTATGGAGAGTGTTGGGTGGAAGGATATTAGCAATTGGATGGCAGATGTGGTATGGTAACACTGCACCTCTAACACTTAATAAATATTTATATTTTGCAAACCAATGTTACCTTAATAAAGAACTAAAAAACAGAATTTGTTCATATTATGCATATAAGTAACTCATAAGATTTTAGGAAAATTACAGATTCATAATAAAAAGTTTGTGAAAAGTATTTAAAATCATAAAGGAGAAAAGTAGGAACTGCTATACTGGTAAGGAAATTGTGGTATATATACTCAACAGAATATTATTTATCTATTTACAAAGATGAAGCTGTATTTCTGACAAAATAGATATAACTGGGGATTTTATTTGGCAAATCAGAAAGTGAAAAACAATTTACCAGATCATTTCACTCCTATGTACATGGAAATAAATGACCAAAGAAAACTAACTGGCAAAAGACAACAGAAATAACTTGTCCTATGAAAACCACGGATGCAACGTGAGATTTAGGGGCAGGAAGTCTGGACAGAATAGTACAAAAAGTCAATTTGGTAGGGAAATTTCTTGTAAACATTGGTGATGGGTAAGTTGAGACATATACAAGGTTACAGCAAGCAAGTTGTAAATACTGCAACATAAAATGTTAGTGAAATACTAGTGTACAGGAAGCAAATGAGCAGAGTTAACATTATTTTTAAGGTTTATGTATATCGAAGGTGCTACTATCTCCCACTGCTTTAGTCTCACTACTAAAACTAGAGATATTAAATGGAACTGAGAAAAATATACAATTTACATCAATGACGGAAATAAGCATGTGTCCCACAAAAGATTTGGTCTAAAGTATTTTAAGCAATAGTACTAATAGATATTAATATATTACCCTTAAGAAATTTAATGTATTTTGTTGCTATTTCTACTCAACATTTGCTAATTTTTAAAGAAAAAAATTTTTAAATGGCTAAATTTATTCAGAGAGATGCTTGAATTTTGTTTCACAAATGATAAAATCAAAAGAGCAAATGGGAGATTTAAGAGATGAAGATAGGTTAAATATGTGTTGCAGAATAGGTAAATAATTTATGAGCTAAACAAAATGATATGAAGTAAATTCAGAAACTTATCCTCAGAGTTACTTTAATAAGCCTTATTTAGAGTATAAAGATAATAGGCCTGTTTCATTGAAAAGTCAAATGATTAATCTAGTCGATACTTAATACATTATTTTACATGAATTTTATGATGAGAAAGCTATCCACCTTTATAAAATGAGTAAAGTTGATATTATTTACATTATTATTATAATAAATTTCAAAAGAGAAAGAAACTGATTTCATTACAATGTAAAGAATAAATACAATATTTCCTACTCTTCTTCCAAATTTCATAATAAAATCCTTAGAGATATAAGGATATAATAAAAAGATATAATAAAAATGCCTCTAGAGAGGCATTGTTTATTTTTATTCTAATTTTTTTTGCTTTTTGGGTCACACCTGGTGATGCACAGGGGTTACTCCTGGCTCTACACTCAGGAGTTACTCCTGGTGGTGCTCAGGGGACCATATGGGATGCTGGGAATCAAACCCGGGTCGGCCGTGTGCAAGGCAAACGCCCTACCTGCTGTGCTATCTCTCTAGCCCCGAGGCATTGTTGATATTGGATAATATTTACTCACCAAGATGTCAGATTAAGAAAACTCTCACTTATCTCCTGTTTTCAACCATTTAATATATATACTTCTTAGCAAAAAGGTTTAAATCTTCCAAATCAAATAAAGGTGTCCACATTTATATCATCTACATTTGGGGTGGGGAGTTTTGGTGGTTTGGCCACCCCCAGTAGTGTTCAGACCATGACCATGATGGTCTCAGGGGACTATATGTGGTGGCAGGAGTTTGAATAGTCAGCAGGACGCAAGGAAAGCATCTGCCTTAACTCTGCACTATGTGTCTAGCCTCTCACATCTAGTTTCTAATCAGATGTCTAATGAAAGAATAATTTTCAGATAAAACACTTTAATATTGACAGATAATTAAATTGATTTATGACAGTTTAACTAAATCCATGAAAAAAGGTCTAACTTACCTATACTAATCAACCTAAAAGTTTATTCTATTCACTAGTTGTAGTACGTGATTTATAGTTTTAAAAACATGAAGATACTGAAGGAGTTAGCATAATGAAATATTCTGTTTGAAATTTGAAAATCTGGTTTTATTCCATAATTCATTTCTCAGTGAGCTAGGGCTATAACAAAATAGTATCTTGAGAAAGTTAAAGAAATTATAGATTTTAAAGTTATTTTAAATAGCAATTATTTATTTTTAAAATGAACTCATAAATACACATTTTCAAACTACCCCATGGCTATTTTTATATCCATACTTGCTTGGGAAAAAATTTTAAACTGTTTAGTTTAAATCATAAGCAACCACTCATTTATATAAATATGAAAGTAAATATGCATCTTTTAGGGTATGAGACAAAATGGTTATAATTGAAAATACATCCAAATGGTTACAGTTTTGATGTTATTGTACATACCTTTAATGTGATACTATAATGGGCAACAAATGTTGAGTCTATCCATGATCTTGAATGGGGATCACCCAGGAATTCAATGTGATACTTTTCAACATTTCCAGCCTGGTCATAGGTAACATATTTCCTTTTAAAAGGATCAGGACAAATAATAGCTGGCCAACTTTGAAAAGAAAATATTTTAAATTATTTTAATGTTTTAAAAAAGATATGTCTCAGTCACGTATCGAACTTTCTCCTTTGACTTCCATTAGCTTTATTAAAACGACTTAAACCTATTCCTATTTTTATCTTTAAAGATAGTATTTGATCAGTTGTATTTTATAAAGAAAGTCACAAATGTAGTATTTGTATTGTTTTATATAAATAGTATTTAACTCTATATATACATTATATGTATACATATATGTAGAATATATCATAAAAGAAGAATTTTAAGAAAAAAGAAATATCTAGAGTAAGAGATAGGTACTTCTCATAGGAAAGATAAGAAAGGATCAATCATATTCATGACAGGTTTTAATCAACTTTGGCCAACTGAAATGATTAATTACTTAAATATTAATCCAACGATAGGGTAAAGAAAGTTGGCAGTTCCTGTTTAAGGCTTCCAAAGGAGATGTAGTATCCATGCTGTGATTACACTGAAGATTATAACTACTTCGGGAATAACAGAAATAGAGCTCAGCAGTTTTATGCTGTTCCCCTTTCCCCCATCTGCTCCACTGGCTGCTGACCAAGTTGCTAAAAGTCCTCAGTACTAGAAATAAATGAATCCTATTCTAAAAATACATTTAACGAGTATTTTCTTTAAAGACATAAAACTCTAGAAGTTTCTTGATACATTATATTTTTTTTTCCATTTAACAGAAACATATATCAACTAAGTTTTAAACAGTTTACTAAGCTGTTGAGACTGATATACTGTTAAAAAAATACTCTCCAGAAAAACAGGAATGAAAAGCAGCAAATAAGCTTACAGTTTGTGACTAAGGAAAGTACAGTCAAAATGTGAGAATCAAGAAATCAAATATTCATATGTAATATGACCAAGCATTAAAAAATTATATATCAGTTTCTATTTCCATTTATAGCATTATAGAAAGATAACAAGGCTCAAATAGTGAGATCCACTCTCTAGTTCTATATATAAATCAAGTAGAGTTTATCTTTTAAATTTATATTGGAAATAAACATTTATAAAGATATCCACTTAAAAGATTTCTATAGACAGACAAATGACGAAGAATGAGTGGCAGTTCACTGAGGACTACATTATCAGATTCCACTTTCTAGAAATTGACAATTGGTCCCTCAAGTTGATTAACAATTGCTATAAAAGCCACTGAACTGTTACTGTTATATGGTATTTGATTTGAATAAAAAATTTAAGAAGCTCAAGCTTAGTACAAGCAAATTTATACCTCTCAGTTATTTTTAGTTGTGTTATTAAAGTGGTAGGGCAGTTGCCTTACAAGCGGCCAACATGGCTGACCCGAGTTCGATTCCTCCGCCCCTTTCGGAGAGCCCGGCAAGCTACCGAGAGTATCTCGCCTGCACGGCAGAGCCTGGCAAGCTCCCCGTGACATATTCAATATGCCAAACACAGTAACAACGAAGTCTCCAAGGGAGACGTTACTGGGCCTGCTCGAGCAAATCGATGAACAATGGGAGGACCGTGACTGTGATGGATGCCTGAAAAAAGGTGATGACATCAATATTTTGAAAATAGAAAGCTAGTGCAAGGAGAGAGGCCAGACAGGCTACATGAGGAGAAAAGTGAAGCACCTGAGACACCTGAGTGATTAAAGGTGGGACAGCTTTAAGCCATTCCAGAGTTAGTCTGATGTATAAAAATAAAAAAAGATTAATTTGGAATTAAAACTAACATGGAGCACATTCTTAAAGCTGGTTTTAGTTCTGTGGCTATTAATGATGAAATTGGTTTGTTAAAAAAAGTCTGTAACACTATGAACTGTGAAAGGTGAGAGAGATTGAAAAGATATATCCAATTCTATGGAAGATCTTGAGTATTTTTACATAAAATCAAAATATATCTATATTATAACAATGGGAGGACCGTGACCATGATTTATGGTGGTGTTTGTAGATTGTGTAATGCAAGATGTGAAACCTGGGTATCCCACATGCAAAGCATGGATTCCATCTCTTTGAACAATCTCCCTGGCCCAAGACTTTCAGTTTCTTTTGGTGCATCTCTTTTTTTTTTTTCTGATAGTGGTGTGGGGAATCAAACTCAGGGTCTTACAAATTTAAGTGTTCTGCTACTGAATGACATCTGTGGCCTCACAGTAATTTTAGAAAGAATTACTGCCAAACAGTATCAAATTATAAGTAGTATATGCGCTATATAAGCTATTCTATCTTAATGTTTCTAATATTTAAGATAAGAGAGAAATATTTTGCATCTATTATGTATCAGATGAGTGGCTACTTTTCTAACATTAATTCTAATACAATTTTTTTACATCAAATCTATCGGGCTCAAAATTATTCAACTGAAATTATTACTCTATAAAAATATATACAGTAGTAACTTTATTAGCTAATAAAATAAAGCTTTAGTTCATTATTTAAAGAATGTTACAGAAAATACTGTGTGCTTATTTAAAATGATTTATGAAATATATTATAAAATGTTGAAATAAATGTGGTACTTCAATATTTCTTTAGGCAGTACAGAGGAATTGTCTGACTCCTATATGTCCCTGATGAAATGGAATATACCGAACTGCAAGAAAAGCTGAGGAAAGGCAAAAGATACAGAAAATATCATTACATCTCTCCAGCTGCTGCATCCATCATCTTCTTTGATTTGCTGTGATTGAAGAAACTGGTGTCTATCTTTTACCCTCATTCTGATATCAATTTGAGTTCCAAACCATCAATGATGATTAAACATTGTGTGCTTCTAGAAACTAATTTTTCACTTTCATAAGGTAAAGGTAAAGGCCCTCCCGTTGATCGTCGATTTGCTCGAGCGCGCCCAGTAACGTCTCCATTGGAGACTTTGTTGTTACTGTGTCTGGCATATCGAATACTCTCGGTAGCTTGCCGGGCTCTCCGAGAGGGGCGGAGGAATCGAACTCAGGTCGGCCATGTTGGTCGCGTGTAAGGCGAACGCCCTACCCTCTGTGCTATCACTCCAGCATATTTATGAGGAATTCTGAAGTGCTTCCTAGGGCCTTAAATATGGAGAAGCAGAGTAAGAACAGAGAGCCCAATAGCAGGGGACCAAAATTACAAAGAAAGTGTAAAATCAGTATTAGAATCTGTGGGTGGTAGGAAGTTAATAGTGAATACAAGGTCAAATATATGCTAGGTGTTAGAATCCATTGGTGAGGAAAAGGAAAATTTTGCCAAACAAGTAATTTCAAGGACTGCAAATATATCATGAATAAATTGATACACATTTCTTAATCAGGAAAAGAATAAGATAACTACTGGTTTCAATATAAGTTGAAACTTAAGAATAGTTTCAACTCTCATGTATTTATACCCAATAAAAAAGGTATGATTGTTATTTGTACGTTTAAAAAGAGATCAAATTATACTTGGATCTCATTCATAACCCAGGAGGAAAAAAATGCATGAGTTTCAATCATCATCAACAACTGACTGCTATATGTTCCAAGAAATCTCTACTGGAACTAACTGCAGGGTGATAAAAAAAAGAGGATGTTTCCCACCACATAAAAGGACATAGCAGAAATATCAATTTATAAATTTGTAAAATCTCTGTCGCACTGTAGTACTGTCCTCTCGTTGTTCATCAATTTGCTCGAGCAGGCCCAGTAACGTCTCCATCATGAGACTTGTTGTTACTGTGTTTGGCATATTGAATCTCAATTTTATAAATCTCAATTTATAAAAACATCAACTTAGAAACCTCAAAATATAAGTATTGATGTGCTCTTAAAGTAATTTTTAAATGAACTATTTGGAATACAACACATATTTTCTATAATTTACTTTCATATTCATAAGAAAGCTTTGTAAATGCCTGGAGAATAAGTCTAGTTTTTATTTGATAATGATTCTATCAATATTAAATGATATATATACCATAATATTTTACTTCAAATTTCTGTGAGCTAACAATACAATGTTATTTGGTTTATTTTAAAAAGTCAAAGTTGCTTAAACACTGTTCTTTTCTTGCTGGTATAATCTGCTATCTCTATCTTGAGCAGGCACAATTAAGTGGCTCTACATATACTTTGATAAGTATATAAGGTATTATCTCACAATGTAGATGTAAGTATAACTTTTACTTTGATTTTCCATGGACTTTTCCAATAGAAAAAGATAATTTTCTAGTCTCCTAACAATTTTGCTTCACATTATATAAAAATCAAATAGGTATTTTAATTTCTGAGTCAGTTCTTTTAACCTTTTTTAGAGTGTCAACTTTTCTGAAAAAACAAATATAATTCTGAGATGTTAGAGAGACAAAGTTCTGAACCTTAAAATCTGGGAGTAAGTCTAACAAAAATCGACCCAGATGATGGTACATAACCATCTTGCATCCAAATGATTGAAATTTCCATCTGAAACTTCAATATTTATAATACTACTAAATAAAGAACTGATGTTTGACTGTTTTCAATAATTCTAGATTTATATTCTACAAATACAATTATCATTGCCATCTTTCTATATGTTCATACCACTGAATACACAGCATTACTAGATTTAAGTTTCTCAGTCTGTACATTAACTTTGTGCTCATATATACTTAGTTCCTAAAGAGTAATATTTGGGACTACCTAGCAAGTGCATACTTCTCTAAAAATAAGCAATAAGGTAGAAACAACTGCCATTTTCAGGCATTTGATAGTCCTACTAATAGATTAGAAAAAAATTACAGGAGTTAAATATGATTCATTTGAATTCCAAGTTCTAACCTTGAATTACTAGCACATAATCGCAAAGATATTCCTAATAAGATTTCTAACATCAGTGGCAATGAACAAATCCATTCATAATCTCCATTAGAAGATAGGAACTTTCTACTTTCAAAATGTTACATGGGGGCTGAAGTGATAGTATATAAAGTACCTGCCTTACATGCAGCTGGCCTGGGTCCATCATGGCATCAAATATGGTCCCCTGAGACCCATCAGGGATGATCCCTGAGCA